GAAGCTTATGTGGATAGTTGCGTACCATGGAGGGCGGGTGGGGTGTGGGGGGTGTTGGGGCGCTTGTTAGAAAATCCGTTCAGAGCAGTTTTCCTGGCATTGTTAAAGAGATACACGCACTGGAGAGAGATTCCGGTCCCGCAGTTTCCGAATACAGCCGTCGAGTTTCCGAATACGAGTTTCCGAATACAACCGTCGAGTTTCCGAATCCAAGCGGTCAGTTTCCGAATACAACCGTGGAGTTTCCGAATACAACCGTCTCAGTTTCCGAATACCAGTTTCCGAATACAACCGTGAAGTTTCCGAATACTAGTTTCCAAATACAACCGTGCAGTTTCCGAATACCACCCTTCCAGTTTCCGAATACAACCGCTTCAGTTTCCGAATACCAGTTTCCGAATACAACCGCGCAGTTTCCGAATCCCAGTTTCCGAATACAACCGTTCCAGTTTCCGAATACAACCGCCGAGTTTCCGAATACAACCGTGGAGTTTCCGAATACAACCGCCGAGTTTCCGAATACAACCGTCCAGTTTCCGAATACAACCGCGACCAATGAGGTAGTGGTGCGATAATGATTGCCCAGGTCCACCATCTGGACCACTTGGCAATATGCTGATGTGCTTTATCAAGCCATATCAAGCCCATGGGTATGTGTTTGAAGGCAACACCTAGCGGCTGCCCCCGAGAAAATTTAGACTCAACTACCTCAGGGTTTGTATTGCCGTATTGCCTGTATGGAGCAAAAGTATGTGTCTTGCCTGTGTGGTTATGTTTGGACAAAAGAAACAGGGCAGCGCAGAGCTAGTGCGCTGTGATACGGCCAGGATGCCAAACGACCTTGCTATTTACAGTTGATTTTAAAGTTGTTCTTTCAACTTTCAATGATGCAGCATCGAGCAGACATGTATGGGTATTTTTGCCGGGCAGCGACTAGGCAGATTGCAATAATGAGATACAAATTCCTTGCACGGTAACAGGTTTGGGGGATTTTCTTGCCGATCTGTTTGCCGCTCTCTAACTCTCCAACCCACACTGTTCGTTTCTTGTTGTGTGTAGAAAACCCAAATCTTATGGAAAGCTCTGTGGTTTTGACCAGAAAGACTCCCAAAAAATAACACCGCCCAGGCCCTGTTTTTTTTCGTGTTTGTTTATCATCTTCTCGGGTGCCACCTGGATTGGGCGGAAGTAGGGTCGGTTTTTTTAAGGGCAGAAGGTTTGGCAGACAAAAGCTGGGAGGATGTGGCTTTTGTTGTTAGAAAAGGTTGCATCAACGTCTTGGCTGGATCAAGTGAGCAACTTGTTTAATGCATTGGACCATTTGACCGGAGCGACCTGATCCATACGAACGGGCCGCACCCATGGAACCAATCTATATACCTTTTCCCACGCAAAGGGCCCTGTTCCAAATTCTACCTACTTGGTGATACTCCCTAGGGCTCCAACCATATCCTCAGAGCGTGGTTAGACCCCGCTGGCACCCACCCAACCACCGAACCTCAGGAGGTGGGCCAGGAGCCCTAGGCACTAATCAATTGCGATGTTTGGTCGAGTTGGATTCTAGGGGGCCTGGCGATTTCGCTGGGGCCACGACATGATGTTCACATCAAGTTATATACAGTGGGCCATCAGAGGTTCGATGGCACGTTTCCCCCATGATGTCCTGAACAGATGGGGGTCCATATCCACCACCGACATTGGGGTCTGTGATGGTCTGTGTCATCTACTCTCAATCCACTATAGTATTCTGGGTGCGCTCTAGAAATCGATCCAGAGAAATTCATCCATTGATTAATTGGTGTTTTTTTGGGGAACCCTGGTACCTTCAAACGTAGGGACCGATTGCTCCGTTGCAGTATGAAGAACTTGGGTGACCTCTAAGAAACTAGAAGATTGATGGAAGGGAAGGATTGTTGCTGCAATATTACTGCCATTTGTTGGCGTAAATAGTGTTTTGCTGGTTTTTTGCAACCATGGCTGTGGCTTTTGAACCCCATACACCTTCCCACTGGGTATGAGGGACACCCGGTGTCGACGTGCGTTCCTTCGGGCCGAAGGCTGGCAAACAGAACTCATCGGCCACCTGCTGGGAGCTCCGGAACGTGCGCCGATGCCCGAGATGTCTCACATGCAAGGCCTGGGTCCAGCAAAGGCCATGTTTAACAGGGGTTAAACAAGTGGTTTCAATGAGTAGATGGCACAATCCCCTAAAGGTGGTTTACAATATATGACATATATATATATATGGACCCCATCTAAAGATTCTAAATGACACTTTAGGGGTTGTGCCATCTACTCTGAAACCACTGTAGATCAACGATCATATCCAGAGTGGCGACACTTTGGAATTTATAAGTGAGCACTCAGCGATCGGCGCTGGAAAGTAGACACAGATAAACACAGATGAGCAACTAAGTCCAGGGTTGAGAACGGGGAAGACAAACAAACACATTGAGTCATGAGTTGTTCTTTTGTAGCTCAGGCATGGAGTGCTTAACGAAGACTCAGTCAGTTTGCAATCGAGAAGGCACCGGAAACGCATGGATTTTCGCGTAAGCGGTCGCGTACGGATGGCGTAAGAGCACTGGTCCATAATGACTGGTAGCCCACGCCCTGCCATGCCGCCTCCTCAAAAGATCTGCAGTGGAGGCAACATACTTCTCACTCTTCATCAACGTAATCATTTGCTTCGTCCACATGTTCTTGAACCTTAGCTTACGGTGTGACCGTGTGAAGTCTGCAAACTCTGGGCTTGCGTAAGCTCTTGCCTACCTGCCTGCCGCGTAAGACCTTTTTTCTGGCTCGCGTAAGGATTGCGCAACCTCTAGAAGAAGACACATATACCCTCAAACCTTAGCAAGTTATTTCAGGGGTAGGGTCACCTACCGTACCTGAAATATCCTAACATACTTTCTATATAGCTACTGGTTTCACAGTGGGGGTAGGTACCCCTTCTGACCGCAGGCAAATAACTTCATATGTTGGCAGAGGCTTTGGACATGATCTGTGGAGAGAAATTTGATACACTGACAGACATTGAATTTTGAAGAGTGTGCTCTATATTTTTACTAGATGAACTGGCATTTGAATACACTATATATATATATATTCTAATTGCATGGTATATTCTAAGACCAATGCTGGATTTAAAGCAATTAACAAATATATTTTAATTGCGCTTTAGTGTATCCTAAGTGTCCGTCCATCATTCTACATACTTTGCATGGGGGACACCAATGAAATAATTCCACAAGTTTGTGCCTTGGCACGGGTTCTTTTCCTGTGCCAACACCGTTGAAATATTTGATAATTGTTGCAGGTTGGGGAGCTTCTGGCTTCTCATGCTACTGTATGGCATCTACACCACCCTACCCTAAGGCATAGGGAGTGAACCCCTGAAACGATGGGTTTGACGGTTTTTCCGAGACCCGGGGCACACGACGTGCCCCAGGCGATCCCGGAGAACATGGACGCAGCTTTGCCCTTTGGCACCGGTTTCAACCGGCACCGGTTTCAGAGGTTCGATGGCGCAGCCCTAGGGTGGTCGTTTTTGTATATATAAGGGGGTCCACATAAACCACCTTTTGGGGATTGCCATCTACTCTGACCCCACTGTAAGTAGGCGGTCAACGTGCAGGTGTGGTGGTTCATCAGTGGGTTCCACGCATCAAACAGAGAGGCCAACCATCTGTCAAAGGCCCCCATGCAAGGAGCATAATTATGGCTGGTGCGTTTCGATTCCTGAGTCAGGGAGATCAGGTTTTGATATATTTTTCCTTTCTGAGGGGGCCATTTTCTAGCTGCTCTAGCTGCAAGTGCTAGAGACCGGTTCCGACTTCCAAACGGAAACGTTTTGCAAACCCAGTCAGTGAATGACATGATCGAATGACCAATCCACCAACCATACGATCCCTTATCGACCACGGTTTCGCGTCCAGTGTCACGTCCGGAAGACATGGCGAAAAAGGCACATGTGTTTTCCCCGTGGCCCCCTTTTAGTCAGGACGGGTTGGCACGATGACCGGACCAGGTTGTTGACTTTGGTTTGTTCGGGATATTGGAGTCGCTGCACCAGCTGACATGCAACTCTACAAGCCGTGCTTTTCTTTGCGCAACAACAGCGGCGCAGTTTTTTTGGAATTATTATTGTTTTACCGTGTTTTTTTGGTTCGGGGTCTTTAGGCTTGAGGGAGCCAATCCACCCATTATAAATATTGAGTATACCAATTTTTTGTTGTGTTGTGTTTTTTGGGGTTATGATTCTTCAATGAAAGCCAGCCGGTAGGCTAGGCTGAAGTTAGTTGCAGCGGACAAAGTGAGCCATCAGGGGCTGTTTTTTTTGTACATGTTTGTTCACCATGCTGCACCCATGTTGGGTGAGCTAGTGTTTTCATGAGCAACGCTTTTCGTCTACATAGGTGTGTCGATGTTCATTTTCTTCACATCGTCCAAAACGGGACACCTGTTCGGGACACCTGTTCTCAAAGCCTTTTCGCCGAGTAAGTGGTACAACCAGGGGGGATTGGATGCTGGTTTCCACTGGCCTTTTTCTACCGCTGTCCGACGGCCAAAAAAGCAGCACCCCCCCTCGACCGCTTCACGAGAACGGTCGGTTGGGCGGAAGCCCAGGCATCCTTCGACTATCCCTGGCGCCCTGGCGAGATGGACCTGTTGCGCATGGCCAACCGGGCAGATCCTTGGCTGCCGCAGCTGGATGTCCAGCCAGATGGGGTATCTTCCGGCGATCACAGGCAGTTCTCGGAGACCTGTGTGATGTGGCTCTGAATTGGCTGAATCTTGGACACTGTCGTCAAGAACTCCAAGGAAGTTGACGTTTTCAGAGCATCAGGGGAGTTGGACAGGGGGCCTACCTTGGGGGACACCAAGAATCCCTCACTCAAGCTTACATGTCTTCAGAAGAAGTCATGGTTTGTACCGTCTTCCCCTTCCTGGCAATCTTAGCATTTGTCTTTAAACCACGTCTGGTGGCACCGGCTTAAGCTACAGAAGACTTGGGAGGCCGAATCCGATCCTCGTGGCGTGGCATGTTCCGGTCTCGTGGTTCGAACAAATCGATCCGATTCTGCGGGGGCCCAATGTTCTTCTGGACAGTTGATACTTCTTTCCCAGACACTTCTGGAAGGGGACTGGAATAGATGCCGCCTACATTGACCCCCCCAAACCACATGTAGGCAAATATGGCAGTCCCATGGAGTGTCTGGGAATAGATGACCATCCCCATGGTATCGGATCAGTTGCGCGGTTTCAAGTTGCGCATGACTTCGCTTGACAGAAGGCAGTCATGACCACGCCGTGACGTGACCACCCTGTGTCATCAGGTAAGATATATTTGGGAGGGTGTTTGCAGTTTACTGTTTTCGGGCTACACATGCTAGGAAGATGATGGAAGGCCAACTTCGAGTGCACCCCACAATTGAGCGTGTCAATTTATACATAATTGCAGAGGCACATGTTGGGACAAATTGCGCACAATTAGAAGGGATAGGTGCATTGGCATCCCTATTTGTTCCTTTCTTGATAGCTGCATAAGATTATGACGCAATTGGTTGCTCAACGCTCCTCGTAGCTGGTCTTCAAATGTCTCCACCCTGCCAAGAAGACTGGCCTGCCTAGGACGCTTGGTTGGTACAGAGTCTTGTTTGCATGAAGCTACAGTTCCCAACACCCGAAGCCAGATGATCTAAGATATTCTAAGATTCAAGATGATTCAATTTAATGTTAGGCTCAAAATCCCAGTCAGACGAACTACTTTGCAGATGTTCACAGTATAGAGTAACAATACAGTAATAGAGCCAGCTTGCCAAGGAGTTGGTTGTATTTCCAACTGCCCAGCTCAATACCCTGCGTTTCCATCCTATTATTGTTCCATATTGTTCCCCAAACCAACTGCTCACAACAACAATGTACCTGTGGTAAGCAACATCCTCCCAGGAGATGGTTTTCTACCTGCCGCACCCGTTCCTGGCTCCTCCGAGCCGTCCTTCCGTTTGGCTCGAAGCCTTTCGAGCCGGGAGTGGCCACCACATGATGCCTTCGCCATCGAGCCAGGGTCGGCATCACCAAGGCATGCAGAGCGCCTTCAACGCTTGGACTGGGAATGGATGGAGGAAAAGAATCCGTGGGCCGCGGTGGTCAGCAGGCGCCGGCGCATTGGTCGACTTCGACGGAAGGACGTGTTTTTGAGTTCCGGGAGGGATCTGACTAAAGTCAAGAACCTTTTTCTATAAAACAAAGGTGAACCTTTCTCTAGGTCGGACAGCGTCTCAGTTCCCCGGTTCTTACGAGTTTCAAGTCCGAGAGTTACTTGAGAAGTTTGGGGAAGAGACTGCAGTCGTCCGAGGTTCTTTGTTCTATTTTTCTCACCTTCCACCTTCGGGCCAATCTTCTAAGACATGCTACGTCGGACGTGCGACGTCTGGGGCAGTCCGACGTGCGACGTCTAGGCGTCCGATCTTGCCCCGAAGCCTGACGTCTTGACGTCTTGACGCTGGAAGTCCAAAGGCGATGATTGTGGCCACCAAGAGCAAGGGACATTCCTTTGGAGATCAACGAAAGGAAAGGACCATTCTTTGTGTCAACGAAAGTACCTAAGTACCTCCATTATGCGGTACCCGGTACCTCCATTATGGAAGGCTCGTAGGAGTGGTATGGGAGTGGGAGTGGGAGTGGTAAGGGCATGGTGGTATGGGAGTGAATAATTATCCCATAACTTTATAGGAGAATTCCATGTCTCCAGCTCCTTGAACCTATATTACTCCCATGCACAGGTACCAAGTTTGCAGGTACTTAACAAATTCCGTAGATTTTGTAATCTTTGACATTCTTTGATTTTGAGGGGAGGTAAATATACCCTCAAAGTCAACGATCGAAAGAATGGTCTGACTAGGGGACCTGATTGAGCTTCCTTTACTTCAGCTGGTCAACATCTATAGACTATAGATATCTATAGTCAAAACGGACTCATTCCTTCAGAGGTGCCCTACTCGGTTCGGGCGGTACGGCGGTGCCGGTTTGGGAACAGAGAAAGATCATAGACCAGGCTCAGTGGACAGACCTCAGAAACATACTGGACTGATTACACCTCTTTCCCAGAAATTCTGTGTTCTCCTATATAGATTCTAGGGTCACATCCTCACCATAAGGTTGAAGCTTGAAAGCAGCCCTTGCCGGCCATCGTCTCAAAAACACCGACTGAAAGACCTCATCCGATTCGATGCATTGAAACGTGCCAACCGGCCAAGCAACGCGTCTTGAGCCACACGGTGCCAGGTAGATGCCCTGTTAAAGGGAGCATGGACATGTTGCGCCCTTGGTTTTACCATGTTTTACCCATCCTCCGGTCACCAAAGGTCCGGACAGAATAGATTCTGAAGTACAGCAGCACTTCCATCTGCCCCCTATAGCTTTCGGTCATGCTATGCCGAAGCCATGGCAGCCATTAATCCCCGATCACAGCGACTCGGCGGAAGCTGTGCTGTCGCTGGGTGTTGGGATCAAAACCACTGTGGGAGGGAGGCTGAAGTAAAGGTCAGACCCTCTACCAGGTGATTTGTCAGGATGGTTACCTTGTGTAGTTGTTACTGCTGCTGTTGGTGAAATAAATGCTGGACATAACCGGACACCTTCAAAAAAGCATAACATACAGTAGCATAACTAAGCTCAACCTGAAGTAAGGATGCTCAAGAGCTACGCGTGGGGTGTGCTCAGTATCCAAACATGTTATACATCCACCTTCAAACCATGGAGCTTTATGAGAAGTCACGTTTCGTTGTTGTTCAGACCAGTTTCAGGTTGCAGATATTTTTAAGTTTAAATAGGTGTTGGACCATGGGGTAGTTCAAGGCAAGAAACCAAACAAAGTCCAGCGTGCTGAGGTTTATTCCCGAACGCTGGCCCTGTCGAAGAGATCTTGACGAGTCCAAGCTGAATCCTTGACCTTTTTGCAAGGCATCACAAGGCTTTGGAGTCCCTTTCTTGTTTGTTGTCATGCTGTGTGAAGATGACTGAAAGGAAAGAACAGCTGGTGATGCCAAGACTTTGTTGTTCACGTGGCTTCTATGTAAGCAGGCCATGGCAGGCCGGATCCATTTGCACTTGTGGAAGTCCCGAGATGGCAAGTGAGCAACTCTAAAAACCTTGCTTTAGGTTTTAGGTGTTTAGTCAAGGTTTTCAGGGAGTTACTGCAGGTTTTCAGAGCAGTTCAAGTGAGAAAGACTGTGATAGGTCCAAGCTCCCTTGTACCGGTTGTGAGAGTCGCCTTTGGCTAGTGCGTGTGCCACGTGGCCGCATGTGGCGCCACTTGTGAAGGGTCCAACCTGCAGGTTCCTGCAGGACTGCAGAGCACCTGCGCATGCACCTGACGATCGTCGTGCACGTCCGCACGCTGCGCACCGCATGAGGAACACCGCCAAGATCCCTCCCAACTTTGAGCCCGTTGATTTGAAGAACCGCGACTTCGAGGGTTTGGTTCAGGAGTCAGAGCGCATCAAACGTGATGGAAGGACATGTTTGCTTCACCAGCGCTACCCAAGAACCAAGAACCATCAACAACCCATCTGATTCTAGGGCTACTTGATGCTAGCTGCTAGCCTTCGTTAAGTTCTACCATTCTACCCCTCACACCACTCGGCCGCGCGTGCAACCGAAGGAGGAGCGACCGGACCGGCTCCTTCGACAACATGGCTTGGACCCTGAGAGTGTCTGGTCAACATGAGTGGTGTGTCTTTGGGGCGGGTGTCGTCCCCGATCAACTTTGTTGGAATACATGTTGTATCATGTTCTTATGGAAAAGGATTGATGTTTTGTTTGTTTTTGAGCCGCAAACCGTTTTCACATCAAACAGTTTTTGTCAAAAACCTTTTCACATCAACCTCAACAGAGTCAGAGGTGCTCTGAGCTTCCCAATCAGGGCAGCCGAGAAACACCACGGCCGACCCGGTCGCTTGTCGTCCACATCAACGGTCGCATGGTGAGCGAAGACTTCGGAAGGTGAACGAATGGTCCATGATATTCCATGATTCATGCGCAAGCGCTTCTTTTAGAGGGTGCCTCCTGTATAATTTTACTCCATAGGGAATCCTCTAAGGAGTCTTGATGTCAAATCCGCGTGTTTTTTTGGGGCTTCCAGGCCTTTCCGCACCTGGCAGAAACCAAGCTCCGCTCTAAAATGGAGCAGGGTCCGCTCGCCCAGTCACCGCGCCGGTCCCCCGTGTGGAGATGCGCCCCACCAACCAAGCTTGCACAAAAGGTCCTCACACAAAATCTGAGAAAACATGAGAAAACCATACCTGACGGAGTCCTTTCTCCTTTGCAAGCAGGTCCTCAGGTGAGTTTGTAGCTCTCAAACACTTTTTGCGCTAGATGTGACCTCAATGTTGCCCTATTGACTTCTCCACTATGATCCAGTCATGGATTTCAACGGCCCAAGATCCCCGATCTCATCAACGCGAGTCAAAAAGTGTCATGGCCTCAACAGCCTCATTGGATCTCGAGTTGATTCATAATACTTTATAATGAGCTCACCCAGTGGGTCAACGCACCAGTTTAACCAGTGCTTTAGTAACGCACCAGTTTGACCGGTGCTTTAGCAAAACGGGAGCTGGAAGCCGGTTTGAAAAACAGTCTTGGAAGTTTGGGGGTGAAATGCGTCCTGTACCTTGATGCACCAGTTAAACCTGTCCTTTGGACTTGCTGGGCAATATCACCTCAGTTTTGCAGAGGATTTAATGGTGTTCGCAATGGTTTTGCTTGGCAGTTGATGATTTCACCGTTTTGCATGGTGTGTGTCACTAAGAACAAGTTGCCTGGCGATGCATCCCAATGGAGGACGGCCGTGTGTGGTCCTGGGAGGGGCCACATTCAAATCAATCTGATGCCTTGAGTCGCAATTGGGGGAGTAGGCATTTAACTGGATTCGACTGGATTTAGGTTGAGTTGTGGATGATTCTAAAGTTTTTGGTGTGTTTTTTTGGCAGATCCCTTGCAAGATCACAATTACTGGAGGTTGTACCTACCACTCAAACGTCCGCCTCTATCTACAAGAGCCCAATTTCTTTGATCTGTCCGTGCGTCGGGCCCCTCCAGCTGGACGCTCCAAATGGGATGCCTTCGTCGAACAAATACGCCTTGGAGGAAGAGGAATGAAGAGGCACCCTTTCTTTTTGTCCATCACCGGTCCACAGCTGGGACCGCTTTTCGGGGAGGAGGTCAACGTCAAGGGCAGCGAGGTCGCATCCCGCAGCGGCTTCGCTCCGGTGGGTTTGGCCGCGCGGCCGTCCGGTGAGATCGCTTGGAGGAGACGAAGCTGTGATCGCAGCGGACTCGTGACGGGAGCATGTTGAGTCAGTTGAGCGTTGTCCGCCCGTCTAGTTGGTCACCTGCTGTTTTGAAGTATGTTGAAGTATTTTGTTCAGACGGTTGAGCCAAGCACAGTTTTCACAAGTCAAAAAATCACCGCCCCGGAGTGAAGGGATTCGATTCAATGCAAAGGCTGGCGTAAATGAGGGGCAACTTGAGGAGGAATAAATTTTGTAGATGACCCAGCGGGCAGGCAGGTGAACTTGTCAAAGATGCCCAAACATGCGACAGGAATGGATAGGAATGGTATGGGTTGGGTCTGTCCTATTTCCTGTAGCAGTCAGTAAACACATATCAATCAAATCAAATACCACTATTTTTGAACAAGGCCTGCAACCAAACCATCATCATCCAATAATCACTCAAACTAGGTGGTGGGTGGTGCTGGACTGTTTCAATCTATAAGATCTATCTATATATAAGTATGCAGTTTGATTCCTGCACGGCGGTCCAAGCATGAGGTATCCCTGGTTCCACTGAGTGAACGTGGTACAAGCTATAGTACCTGCTAGTGGGAAATGTCAGTGACCCAAGTATAGGCACCTTTTTGACTCTCAAATTGACTCATGACTCCCATTCGATCTCCCGCCACATCGCCCAGATGACACACCCGACTCGGACGGCGTCGACTTCTCGGAACCGACGATCCGCCGAGCCGAGCAGCGCAGGATCCCCGCCGAGCCGCCCATCTACCAGAACATCGAGGAAACGGACCCTGCGGCCGGGCTTTGTCATCCGCGGCATCCCTGCAAGGACCGCCCTCATGATATGAGAAGAAAGCGGAGCTGATATATACAATATATATATATATAATATATATATATATCTGATGGTTTCAGATATAGTCTATGTGTTCAGACATGTGCAACATATATATATATATATATGTTGCTTATTCTATTTTCAACCTTTACTTCCATTGATTGAACCCACTATGTGTTTGAGACATGTTGAAACCACCACCAACTATATAGATGTTTTTCCTCGGGGCGAGCCGTCCTGCAAGCAATTTGCATGCCTCGCATGCTGGGCCGCAAGAAAGCACGGTATTTTTGAAGGGCATCGATGGTTTGCATGTGCATTGAGGGAGGTGTTTTTGGCAGTTGAATACCTGAACTACTGTGGCTTGTGGGTGAAAATTGAGCTCATTATGCCTATAACTCTGAGCAGAGCCATCCTATTTAGATACTGACACTGATAGTTTTGTCAGTTCATCCCAGTTCGCAAGCTTTAGTGTTCTGAGAGGACGCAGTCCGATTCCCTATTTGACATGTCAAATCTTGAATGCCTTCCTTGCGGCAGTCCGCGCCGCATACACTGAAGTATTAACCTTTTTGCAATTCTGCCAGTCGAAGGCGTTTCGGGACATTGCAACCAATCAAAGCATTAACCCTGAGAGGACATGGCCAAAAAGATCCTCAAGGACCTCCGGTTGGCTGGAACTCCGGGAAAGAGTCAGGTACGACAGCTGACTAGCTTGCTTGATGCTGAAAACCATTTTAGGAAGCTAAGCTAGCTAGCAACTAGCTCGACTCAGGGCATCTCGTTTGCCTTCGCAAGGCAGCTTTTTCTTAATGCTGCTTCTACACTTGATGGGATGCAAAGGGGAAAGCTTGCTGCAATATGCCGCAATTGAACCACAGAAACTCGCGCGATGTTCCATCCTGTTCTTGTTGGACAGATGCATTTTTGAAGACCTATCAAGAGAACACAAAGGTGTTTGTTTAAGGATGTGTCAGATGTGCAGCGGTGTGATTGGGTCTGAACTTCTTTAGCGCCCAGCACGCGCTCCTCTCATCCTCTCACCCAGGACCCCGCAGGTGTGCCCTACTGGGTCATCACTTCTCAAGGAGGCTCGGTCTCTCCCACCGTGGACGGTTCGTTCGACGACTCCGTTTGGGCCGACAGGAACTTCCCGGTTCGGTGAATCCCCCGGTGGCATGGGGACGATGACCCTGGGAACACCGGTTCCTGGAGCAAATCCGAAGTCAAGCATTGAAGAAGGGGAGGTCCCAAGGTTTGTGTTCGAATGATGGGGGAACTCTCTCGTCCATCAGTACTGAGTGGTGCTCCGTGTTGATCCGTACTGACTGGTGCTGAACACCCGCAATCATGCAACGCTGGCAGCATCAAACAGCTGCAAACATTGGAAGGACGTGCAAGTCTTTGCCCAACGCTTTGTTTAAAATCCTATATATATAGGCGGCATGTGGATGCCAATCAATTTGTGTGCCGGCAATTGTTATCAACATCTCCCCACTATAGGCTTGATTCCTGCTTGGATGGGCTTGGGCTCAGCAGACGTGCATGCTCTTTGCCGTTTTATTCTTGCATCGCCAGGCAAGCCAGACGAAGAGATGGACACTGGGCCAGTGAGCCAATCCAAAGGGGTGCGGATCTTAGTCGGAGGTCTTTCGCCCTCATAAGAACAGGATACACCGAAGATGACACTCGACTCCCAGGATACACCAGTGCATGATTTCCTGTGCCGTTGAGGAACACGCGTAGGGTCCACCATTGTGTTCATGCCGTTGTTTTCGCACAGATTCGATGACTCACCATGACCGAAGAACGCCAGCCCGGAACGTCAGGTGATGATGAGCTGCCAACCGAATGGCCATATGGAGTGACGATGTGGCATTGCTGCGGCGGTGTTTCTTTTTTCAGCTGTACTGTGCCCGCCTGTGCGTTTTGAAAAGCATAGAAGTAAGTTAAAAGTAAATTGAACATACAAACTAAACACACGTCATGGAATTTCACGGTTCAGACCTCACCAGGCAGGCGTGACCAGCGCCGTCGCTACTTCTCAGTTTCACTGGCCGTGCAGGAGCGCACGCCCCATGCGCCGAAGACGCCGGAGATGGAGCTTTTCCCACCGGGCCTCAGCGCGCTGCCCAAATTCCTCAAAGGTGCAACAGGACCGCGCGAGACCCAAGGAACTTGGGTGTGTTTTTTAGTTGGGAGATGTTGGGAGATCCCAAACCCATGAGTTTGGGGTGTGTATATTTATATATAGAGAGAGAGTTTCCTTCTTCCAGGGGGTCTTTGAAAGGTCCCCTTTATTGACACACATACACAAATGTGCGTGTGTGTATTTGTGTGTGTTTGCGTGGTGAAGCACTTTGCGGAAGCGTGTAGAGTGACACCATCTCGTGAGATGATCCATGCCCAGACACTTGACGTATGGATTGGTCACTTACATTCATCAATGAGGTAAATGTACATATATTAACACAAACCATAGTTATTCCCATATCCATATACATGGATGGTCTGGGATACATGACCATCCATTCTTTCAAACCTTTGACTAGCGATAGGGAGTCCATGACTTCACGCGTCTTCGCTTACTCGTGTAAGTCGCGGCCGCGGGATCGCGGGAGTACTGCTCCACGGTGGAGGCTCGAGTCACCGGTGTTGAGTACATGGGCTGCTCCATGTCCTGCATGATCCTGCGGAACCCCATTGGTGCTCAAGGTTGGATTTGCTTTTACCAACTTAGGTGTTGTCATACTTCCTTGCCAAAAAACTTTCTTGAGTGGATGTTGGATGTTTGTAGAATACCTGTGGGTGTTGTCTCCTTCAGAGGGGCACATGTTGTCTCCCTTCGATATCCTTCCATTCCTGCCCCCAATCGTTTGCTCAAGAAAGGAAAGGACATGACAGGACCCTTGGGCTTCTGAGTCGAAGGCCCTGGGATTGGAACAGCCATTGCTTTTAAGTCTATATTTTTTTTACCAAAAAGAACCATTGTTGTTTGATTAAGGTTTACTTTAAGTGGCGTCTTTGAAGGCTAGGGGAGGAAGTCTCTTCACTGTCGTTTAGGATGCACATTAAGGGCGGTGTTGGGCCCCAGATCCAAGCAAGGGGCCCAGTCAACTAACGTGTGGCAGGAGCGCAGTTCTTGTGAGCGTGACGAAAGCAGACGGTGCGTCGGGTGCGTCGCCGTGGGCCTCGGCCCACGGGGTGATCCATCAGCGATCGGACCTCTTGCGGTCGCAAAAGGCGAGCGTTTCGGGTGCCCAGACACGACGTGTTTGGGACCCGACCCCGACCAAGAGAACACCCCAATGCATGGATTCATATGCCAGTCCCAGAAAACAAGTGTCTGGGATGAGTTCATCCATTTGATGAATTCTGGGGGTGGACCCAGTCAGCCGCCAGAAGTACAACAGCTGGCTGAGTACAACAGCAGACTGGTTAGGTTTGGTTTTATTCTTCAGCCAGTGGTTGATGATTTGGCCTTGGGGACGACTTCGACTTCGATCAGTCGCCGCATTGGACCCGTTCTGCCGGTGATTGCCTGACCATCCTTGGAATCCCACCACCGCCTTCATGTGACTGGCAGCCATGCCCCAACAACCTGCCACTGGAACAAGAAAGACCAAACAAAATATTATACTGTATATGAATCATATATTCCGTTTATTCCCTTGCAGTTCAACACAGCATATGCAAACATTGCGACACCTTCACGAAAGCGCCGCAGAAATGGAGAGTGCAGCAACCCAGCGCGGTCTCGCTGGCCGAACTCGTTCGCCCGAGGTTTCACGTGACGTTGCGGCCGTGGTTCGCAGGCCGGGAGCGGCTCCCCGCGACGTGTGAGAAAGGAAGAAGAAAGCTACGAAAGAGAGGACATGTGCTGGATATAGAGAATGGACTTCTTGGAACTTGCAACCAATTCATCCAACATTAGAACTTGATCAAACGTGTATCAGCGTTATTTCGTTGCTATATTATGCTGTGCTATAGTGCATGCTATATATTACCGACTATACGGCTATGTTTTCCACATCTTTCCCACGATCAATTCCCCCGGTCCAAGATAGATGGGACCATACAACTGAACACATCCATGCAGGTGGATGGTGGATCAACATTTTTAATAGTAGGTGTGGGACCATACAATTGAACACATCTACCTACTGTGCGGCATGTTGTTTTATTCCTCAGGACTCGTCGGACTCGTCGGACCATTGTGCGCTGAACGAAGGGTCCAGCCCGCGTCGACCCGGCAATGCCAGGCAGCCGGGTGGCCTACAACACGGCTGAGATGCTGCTCGGAGGTTTAAGCCAAAACCAGCGGCCCCTACTCGTAGTGATGAAGAGGCAAATGATCCGTATATATAATGCAGTTGTTTCGTAAGGTTTTAACATTGTTTTTAGGCGTGTGGCGTGTTGATGTTTCCCTTAGATTTTCAAGTGCGAATTGGAAGTAATAGATGATTTGGGACCTGGGTGGATGCACAATGCACGTCCCTGTTTTCTGGCAAAACCTCTATGTTTGATCCAGCTGTTGTATGGAAGACTGCTTGGTGGACACCTTGACCATTCCTGAGTGACGCCCAGGATGCTGACAGCCAGCACGCACTTGGCGTGGGGCTCAGCTTCGGAGTGTGGGGGGAGCAGCTCCCCTGCCTAGGCACCTCACTGACTTCAGTCACCGGGAGCAAACACATGCCACCTTAGGAGGCATCCTATTCTTGCTGGCTTGGTGGGGGCTTTGATCCATGCTGCGTTTAAGGTGGAGCTGTTGGATTTGTTGCTGGTGTTGCTGTTGCTAGCTCGTATTCAAGCCCGGCGGTATGGGGCAATTTGATGCCTCAAAGTTCAATGCTATGATACTACTAAATCAAACCGGGGGTTAGGTGAATACAAGCACTGGTGAGCACTTTCTATCGTACGGTACTTTTTTGCTTGCTCCCTCAAGATGCATCTGGAATAATGACTGAGTCAACCACTTCTATTTGCCCAGCTCATCCCAGCTGAGTTGCGATCCCCACCCGTGCCACGCACGCTGTCTATCACTGTCCCCAAAAGCGCCCAGTATACCGTGGCCGCGGAGAATGATCAGAACGTCGTGCCAGCAAAAGGCCGTCGCGGACCACGATCGACTGTGGCGAGCGTGCCTGGATCTCGAACATGAGGTTTGTACAGGATGTTCTAAGGGTACTTCTTCTTCCTTGTACTGGCACTCCTTTGCTAGTAAGATCTAATAAGCATGTCCGTTGGGGGTACATTTCATATCATTTCTTTAATGACCACAACCAGACATAGGCTGTGCTGTAGGAGGACGCTCGGAACCTGACGGGACCCGATGCGCTACGCACGGACGCTATGCGCCTGCTGCGAACTCATTTTGGAGGATCAGAAAACAGCTTGAGAACACTCCAATTCACTGCAATTCACTGCCACCTGGCCTGCCCTTTCCATCCCATCCATGACTCTATGACTACCACGCCTCCTCTCGCAGATGATCCGCTTCTTGAGACACAGTGCGTCCGGGCTCCCAGGCTCGGACGGACGTCGTCCAAGCGGGCCCTCTAAGGGTGACGGAACTGCGTGGTGTTTCAGATCCGTGGACTGGGATGACTGGGCCTCTCCATGATGGGGCCATGGGTGGCACCTGGATGGCATGGATGAAACAGAACATGATTGACCAGGTGGTGGCTGCTGGTGGTGGGCTCCAGATGCGTACATGTACTCCGATGAATGGAGTTGTGGGAGTTGGGTTTCATATACCCCAAGATACCCCAAGGATTTGGAACTGGTTTGCTTTTGCATGGGAGTTGGACATCCCTCATCAGGGGAGTTGGGACAGTTTTCTTTGTTTTCATGTGTGTTTTTTTCCATCTCATTGATCTCATTAAGGATTCACGCAAGGTTCTGGAGGACATTCCCGCCTTCATGAGAACCCTCGTTTCGCTGTTCCCAAGATGAAATCGAGCCGCCCATACCCGGCCGATAGCCATACCACTATGAGTGATCCGGTGAATAGAGTCAAACGGATCAAAAAGGCTCAGTCATAGGAGCCCATATAGAGGGTCCCGGTGTCGGTCCAGTCATAGGAGCTCTTACTTCGTAAAACCAAATCCCTTCGACGCCCAAGGTCTACTCCTTGGAAGCGATGTCCGACAGGCGAAGCTTCGGAGTTTGGCACGCGAAGACTGTGACACACCGCAAGTGGTATACGGCGCAGATTCCATGGCAAAGAGCTAACACATAGACTGGCAATCGCTGGAGCAAGGGTCCTATCGACCTACTGTAGTTACATCGACCTCATTCTCAAGTGTGTGTGTGTGTGTGTGTGTGCTTGATTCATTTTCGGACCAGCGATGGGAGAGGGGCGTGGGGTCACCCCATTCCCTTTGAAACCTTGAACGTTGTTTTTCTATTGATTGATCTGCACGTTTGTAAGATAAAAGATGGGGCAGATAGGGCCAGATATATATCACGTTCAGATTCCAGCTGTGTCCTTCCTGTTTGATCAGATGTCACTGTCCGGATCGTTGACCGTCGAGTGACTTCCGAAGTGGCCTGTGGTGTGATCGTGTGTAACTGCACGCCGCCCAACATGCCAAACTAGTAGCATCTAGTAGCTATTTGCTAGTATTTGCTAAGGCACCTTGCTACTAGTAGTTTCTTAGTCACTATGGCCTCCAACCTAATATCGATGGCCTCCAACTTAGCTTCTCTTTGCTGTTTCTTCCGCTTCGGCCGTCCGGCGGTCCGGCCGACGTCCTTCGCAGGAAGAGTTGCAATGACCAGCGCACCTTCGAGGCGCGCCACGGCTGGAGCGGACACGGCCCGATGGAGAAAGCAGTCGACAACGTAGATCGAAAGGAGGCCGTCTTTTTTCAGCCATGCGGGAGCTTGGGAAAGGTGTGGGGTGAGAGGATGAAAAATCGATCTCTGTTGCAACTATATTTTCTTTAGGTCCCAGATGGTCCCATAATGAATGTGGAGCCGCTGAGAGGGTAGCTTGTTCACCGCATGGGTGCCCCTAAGTTCATTTGCTTAGATAGGGGTCCATATACATCACCCACTTTCAATTGGCGTGAGATGCACTTGATATCATGCTCAGTGCATAGGATGTTTATGGATTTTTAGTGTTCTGGGAAGGAAGGCAACGCGGCAACGCGGCAACGCATGCGGGTTTTCAAGAGGAAAGTGCCATTTAGAAAGGCTGACTGTTGTGTCGGGAGCCTTTTGTCCGAAAGATTCAGGATGTACACTGCCAGCACCGTAAACGGTCCCCAACAACTGATTTAGCACCAGCTAGTGAGAGCGCATGAACTTCTAAACTCAGAACTGCGGATTGGTATGGTTGGAGCGGACGAGGAGCTTGATTCATTCAACAAACATCAACAAACAGGTCCGCCGGGCGTAGATGGCCGGTTGGTTTCGGGACCATTTTTTGTGTGTTGAAGAAATTGTTTTTTTGGAAGTATCTTGGGATTTGCATTTCTGTTGTTACGGGTGTTTTTTTTTGCGCAGTTGTTTGTTTCAGATACTCATGGTCGCATGCGCCGACACAACGTCCTGTGCTTGCCATGCGATATCATCAACATCATCTCGATATCATGCGATAGCGTGTGTGCCTGTGACATCATCTTCGGAAGCACATCCAAAGCAACGTCATTAACCCCCCACCCACCCCCACCCCCACCCAACCCATTTTTATCACACGACTAATCGATGACAATGTTGCGATGTCGATGACAATGTTGTGATATCGGTAACCCCAAAAAGTACTGCAAATGCAATGTATTTTCTACATAATTGCTCGAAACCATGAGAAATACTTGCTTACAACCATTTCGACGCTCTCCCCATCATATAGAAAGTGCTGTAAATACCGCACAGAATGTGTAAACTTGTGCTCAAAATATCTCAAAATCACCCGGCCGTTTGCACCCGGCAGGCCAACTACTGCTATCATTTGAGATCTCCACCAGACAATTCCCATGAATCCCTTCTTTTCGAGGCAGATCTTTGTGATGTGTTCAGCTGCAAAGGGCCGGGACCGTCAGACTTTGTCTGCAGGGCTATCACTTTGGGTTTGGGTTCTTGACGATTCGACGAACAGTTTGGGGGCGCTTCCACTGGCGGTTTTTGTTGGTTATTGTTTGGTTGTGGATGGCCTGAACCCAAATACCCTAAGTGTCCAGGACAAGCTGGCTCAGAGGTGTGTGTTATGTAACAGTGACGTACTTACACATATAATCATGTATAATAGATGATGTTATATAGTTATATATCCATATTATACATA